TCAAATAGAACCGTCAAATACTGCTGTGACATTGCAGTTTGCCTAATTCACATTTTTTTGGTGCTAAAAAGTACATTTGTGGCGTGCACTTCATATCTGAGAGTCAAATAGAACCGTCAAATACTGCTGTGACATAGAAGTTTGCCTAATACACCTTTTTTTGGGTCAAATATTGTGCTTACAGCGTAGTTTTAAAAATTCCAATTTATTTTGGTGCTAAATAGTACATTTGCGGCCTGCGGTGCACTTCATATCTGAGAGTCAAATAGAACCGCCAAATACTGTGGTTACAGTGCATTTTTAAACATTCACATTTTTTAGGTGCTAAATAGTACATTTGGGGCCTGCACTTCATATCTGAGAGTCAAATAGAACCGTCAAATACTGCTGTGACATTGCAGTTTGCCTAATTCACATTTTTTTGGTGCTAAAAAGTATATTTGTGGCGTGCACTTTATATCTGAGAGTCAAATAGAACCGTCAAATACTGCTGTGACATAGAAGTTTGCCTAATACACCTTTTTTTGGGTCAAATATTGTGCTTACAGCATAGTTTTAAAAATTCCAATTTATTTTGGTGCTAAATAGTACATTTGCGGCCTGCGGTGCACTTCATATCTGAGAGTCAAATAGAACCGCCAAATACTGTGGTTACAGTGCATTTTTAAACATTCAATTTTTTTAGGTGCTAAATAGTACATTTGGGGCCTGCACTTCATATCTGAGAGTCAAATAGAACCGTCAAATACTGCTGTGACATAGCAGTTTTAAAAATTCAGATTATTTAGGTGCTTAAAAGTAAATTTGGGGCCTGCACTTCATATCCGAGAGTCAAATAGAACCGTCAAATACTACTGTGACATTGCAGTTTGCCTAATTCACTTTTTTTGGTTCTAAAAAGTACATTTGAGGAGTGCACTTCATATCTGAGAGTCAAATAGAACCGTCAAATACTGCTGTGACATAGCAGTTTTAAAAATTCTAATTATTTAGGTGCTAAAAAGTAAATTTGGGGCCTGCACTTCATATCCGAGAGTCAAATAGAACCGTCAAATACTACTGTGACATTGCAGTTTGCCTAATTCACTTTTTTTGGTTCTAAAAAGTACATTTGAGGAGTGCACTTCATATCTGAGAGTCAAATAGAACCGTCAAATACTGCTGTGACATAGCAGTTTTAAAAATTCTAATTATTTAGGTGCTAAAAAGTAAATTTGGGGCCTGCACTTCATATCTGAGAGTCAAATAGAACCGTCAAATACTGCTGCGACATAGCAGTTTTAAAAATTCAAATTCTTTAGGTGCCAAATAGTAAATTTGGGGCCTGCACTTCAAATCTGAGAGTCAAATAGAACCATCAAATACTGCTGTGACATTGCAGTTTTCCTAATTCAAATTTTTTTGGTGCTAAAAAGTACATTTGTGGCGTGCACTTCATATCTGAGAGTCAAATAGAACCATCAAATACTGCTGCGACATAGCAGTTTTAAAAATTCAAATTATTTAGGTGCTAAAAAATAAATTTGGGGCCTGCACTTCATATCTGAGAGTCAAATAGAACCGTCAAATACTGCTGTGACATAGCAGTTTTAAAAATTCAAATTCTTTAGGGGCTAAAAAGTAAAATTGGGGCCTGCACTTCATATCGGAGAGTCAAATAGAACCGTCAAATACTGCTGTGACATGGCAGTTTTAAAAATTATAATTCTTTAGGGGCTAAAAAATACATTTGGGGCCTGCACTTCATATCTGAGAGTCAAATAGAACCGTCAAATACTGATGTGACATAGCAGTTTTAAAAATTCAAATTCTTTAGATGCTAAAAAGTAAAATTGGGGCCTGCACTTCATATCAGAGAGTCAAATAGAACCGTCAAATACTGCTGTGACATGGCAGTTTTAAAAATTATTATTCTTTAGGGGCTAAAAAGTAAATTTGGGGCCTGCACTTCATATCTGAGAGTCAAATAGAACCGTCAAATACTGTGCTTACATTGCAGTTTTAAACATTTCAATTTTTTAGGTGCTAAATAGTACATTTGTGGCCTGCACTTCATATTTGAGAGTCAAATAGAACCATCAAATACTGCTGTGACATAGAAGTTTTAAAAATTCAAATTCTTTAGGTGCTAAAAAGTAAAATTGGGGCCTGCACTTCATATCTGAGAGTCAAATAGAACCGTCAAATACTGTGCTTACATTGCAGTTTTAAACATTTCAATTTTTTAGGTGCTAAATAGTACATTTGTGGCCTGCACTTCATATTTGAGAGTCAAATAGAACCATCAAATACTGCTGTGACATAGAAGTTTTAAAAATTCAAATTCTTTAGGTGCTAAAAAGTAAAATTGGGGCCTGCACTTCATATCTGAGAGTCAAATAGAACCGTCAAATACTGTGCTTACATTGCAGTTTTAAACATTTCAATTTTTTAGGTGCTAAATAGTACATTTGGGACCTGCACTTCATATCTGAGAGTCAAATAGAACCATCAAATACTGCTGTGACATTGCAGTTTGCCTAATTCACATTTTTTTGGGTGCTAAAAAGTATATTTGTGGCATGCACTTCATATCTGAGAGTCAAATAGAACCGTCAAATACTCCTGTGACATAGAAGTTTTAAAAATTCAAATTCTTTAGGTGCTAAAAAGTAAATTTGGGGCCTGCACTTCATATCTGAGAGTCAAATAGAACCGTCAAATACTGCTGTGACATAGCAGTTTTAAAAATTCAAATAATTTAGTTGCTAAATAGTAAATTTGGGGCCTGCACTTCATATCTGAGAGTCAAATAGAACCGTCAAATACTGCTGTGACATAGCAGTTTTAAAAATTCTAATTATTTAGGTGCTAAAAAGTAAATTTGGGGCCTGCACTTCATATCTGAGAGTCAAATAGAACCATCAAATACTGCTGTGACATAGAAGTTTTAAAAATTCAAATTCTTTAGGTGCTAAAAAGTAAATTTGGGGCCTGCACTTCATATCTGAGAGTCAAATAGAACCGTCAAATACTGCTGTGACATAGCAGTTTTAAAAATTCAAATAATTTAGTTGCTAAATAGTAAATTTGGGGCCTGCACTTCATATCTGAGAGTCAAATAGAACCGTCAAATACTGCTGTGACATAGCAGTTTTAAAAATTCTAATTATTTAGGTGCTAAAAAGTAAATTTGGGGCCTGCACTTCATATCTGAGAGTCAAATAGAACCATCAAATACTGCTGTGACATTGCAGTTTGCCTAATTCACATTTTTTTTGGTGCTAAAAAGTATATTTGTGGCATGCACTTCATATCTGAGAGTCTAATAGAACCGTCAAATACTCCTGTGACATAGAAGTTTTTAAAATTCAAATTCTTTAGGTGCTAAAAAGTAAATTTGGGGCCTGCACTTCATATCTGAGAGTCAAATAGAACCGTCAAATACTGCTGTGACATAGCAGTTTTAAAAATTCAAATAATTTAGTGCTAAATAGTAAATTTGGGGCCTGCACTTCATATCTGAGAGTCAAATAGAACCGTCAAATACTGCTGTGACATAGCAGTTTTAAAAATTCAAATTCTTTAGGTGCTAAAAAGTACATTTGGGGCCTGCACTTCATATCTGAGTGTCAAATAGAACCGTCAAATACTGCTGTGACAAAGCAGTTTTAAAAATTCTAATTCTTTAGGTGCTAAAAAGTAAATTTGGGGCCTGCACTTCATAACTGAGAGTCAAATAGAACCGTCAAATAATGTGCTTAAAGCGCAGTTTTAAAAATTCAAATTTTTTAGGTGCTAAATAGTACATTTGGGGCCTGCACTTTATATCTGAGAGTAACATAGAACCGTCAAATACTGCTGTGACATAGCAGTTTTAAAAATTTGAATTCTTTAGGTGCTAAAAAGTAAATTTGGGGCCTGCATTTCATATCTGAGAGTCAAATAGAACCATCAAATACTGCTGTGACATAGCAGTTTTAAAAATTAAAATTCTTTAGGTGCTAAATATCTGGTGTATGTGTGCAACACTGGCTAGTTACCGCTTCTTAAGAAAGTCTAAAGACTTTTTAAAAAAGTGAAAAATAAGTGTTATTGAGATCGCTTCATATACAGAAGCATTAATATACATTTCTATATTGTGTGACACAACTACAAAGTTAAAAACCAAACACCAAAACAACGTGCCAGACAATCTACCTGTGCATGGCTAGTGTGATACAATAAGTCTACATCTTAAAAATGCAATAACCCACAGAAGATGGGCGAGAATATTTTTTTGCAAATGGAACTTTCGAATTTACTACATCGGTCACTTGTAATATTGTTTCACACCTACAACACTTGTTAAACAGATCTAAGTGATAGAAAACAGACTGATATTTTCTACACTAGAAACTACCAGATAACAAGCTGCTATATTTAAAACAGTTATCAATAGTTGAGGAGTGGCTGGAAGATGATGTGGAGGATGATGAGGTCCTAGACCCAACATAGAATGAAGGTCATGCGAGTGACGTGTGCAGTTTGGAGGAAGAGGCGGTGGTCGCACAGAGGCACCAGCACAGCATAAGAGGGAGCAGGGTGCAAAAGCGGAGCGGCCGTCCCCTTGCGCTCGTCGGCATGTATTATCTCTATAATTACCACAGTTATCCAGTAACAGATGGAGCGATCAAAGGAACCATAACTGATTTAATGAGCCATTCACAGTTTCACTGTAGCGGCTGTGCGCGCTTTCTGTGTTCTCACCCTGCTGCTGCTCGCCTGTCTGCGCCGCAGCGTAACTTCGGCCTTCCTGCTCACCGCCTCATATGTGACATGCCCACAAGGTGAAACTCCACCTTGCACATGCTGGAGAGACTGTGCGAGCAGCAGCAGGTGATAGTGGAGTTTCAGCTGCAGCATGCACGGGTCAGTCTCTCTGCACCAGACTTGCCCTCCAATAGATCCTCGTTAAAAAATTTAAAGTTGACTCATTCCAATTACAGGGCCTGGAAAGAGTCCTGTATTGTTATTTATCTTCACTACCTCCACGTGTCGGGAGTGGGTAATTTGCACGCCTGCTACCTTCCTTGGATGTGTTAGCCGTTTCTCAGACTCCCTCTCCGGAATTGAACCCTGATTCCCCGTTACCCGTGGTCAACATGGTAGGCACAGAAAGTAACATCAAAAGTTGAAATTGCAGATATCCGAATGCGCTGTTGCCGCCACGGTCACCACCTCCTCAACTTCCTACTCCACATCCACCTCCTCCTCCTAGAGCAGGGTGCACAAATGGAGCAGCCGTCCCCTAGACAGTACGCCTGCTACTGCTCTCCGCACCCAGGGACCGAGCACACCAAAGCCAGCTCCAAGAAGTTCCCTGGCGTGGCAGTTTGAACGAGGAGAACCCAGTCGATTCCTGTGGCACCTCCCGACAGGCAAACAGGAGATGGGCAGGAATCTCTCTCAATCCTTGTGAGTCGCCGCAACGGTATGGAGCATTTGCTTCAACGTAACGTTGAAGCGCTCACACAGGCCATTGGTCTGGGGGTGGTAAGGGGAGCTCAGGATGGTTTAATGTGCACAATCTCCACAGTTGGTGGGTCATTTCGGCAGTAAACTGGGTGCCCTGGTCTGAGAGAATCTCCCGGGAAAAAACCCATCCAGGAGAAAACTCGCATCAAGGTTTCAGCCACAGTCTCTGCCCGAATACTGCTCATCTGTAGTCCACGATGGTCAGAATGTACTTCTTCCAAGAGGGACTAGGCCTGGATAAGGGACCTATAATGTCAACAGCTACTCTGCCGAATGGATCTTCACTAATAGGTAGAGGATGCAGGGGGGCCCTGTGCCAGTCCCTTCTCTTCTCCACTCTCTGGCAGACATCTGGCAGTACTGCCTCAGATCCTGAGAGATGCCTGGCCAGAAGAAGCTTTGGGTGAGCCGAGATGCTGTCCGGCTCCAGCCCAAATGCCCTGCCAAGGGGATATCGTGAGCTAGCTTCAGCAGCTCATACCAATACTTCATGGGTCTGGGGCTGGTGATCTCTCACCAGCCGTGTCGTTGGGAAGCCCATTGAAAAAGTGCTCTAGCATGACGAGTTGGGTGATCTCCTCCGGGAACTTGGCTTGATGGGAGTTGAGCCAGTTCTGGGTGGCCCTTGTGATGCGGCATGCCCACTCCGCATGGGAGTCCTTCTCCCCTTTCCAGGTCTCCCTAAACTTTCGGCGGTATTGCTGGTGACCCAGTCGCTGGGATCCACGTCCTGGAGTTGGCACTGGCGTTCAACGTCTTGTAAAACGTAATCGATGCCTTCTTCTGCTTCCTTGAACTCTTAGAAGGCATTGTATGGTAGCTTGTGGGCCAGGGTAGTTGTGCTTCCCGGCACCCTCTGCTCCCTTCTTCCTTCATCTGGGTTCATGGAGGTTGCCCTCTGTCTATTGGCAAGGACATAGGCTTGCACCTCCAAAAAGGTCCTGCTGACGATCTCCTCTGATGGTGGCTCTCGGTAATTTACCAGGCGCCGGCCCACCTCCTTGCGCACTTCCTCCTCATCTCCGGCCCCTGGCTGGGGTTTGTTGCCTCACTCCATGAGTGCAGCAGTCAATTTGGCCTTGTTACGCCCACCAGGCGTTATTCCTCTGGCTCCACACAAGTCCTGCAGTGTAGGTCGCTTTAGAGCACTGTAGTCCATGGGTCTGTTGGCAGGGACATGGGATCCCGCCGCTTGCCACCAATTGAAGCGGGACCTGGGTAACTGATGGTTATCCCCTTTGATTAGAATAGGTCAGACCCATTTCCCCAGTAACCCGATGGGACACAGTTCCCGGATACAACGTTTGACAATTTTTATTTGGGTACACAGCTTTGCCTCCTGTTGCCTCCTCCTACTACTCCGCTTCCTCCTCCTCTACCACCTCCTCATCCGGTCAGCATAACACCTTCACCACCAACTTCAGAACAGCCAGGGGGAAACGACAGCAGGCTGTTTTAAAACTCATATGTTTGGGGGAAAAACCCCACACCGTGCAGGAGCTGTGGACAAGAATGGTACAACAGACCGATGAGTGGTTGTTGTCCCTGAGCCTCAAGCCCGGCCTGGTTGTGTGCGATAATGGGCAAAATCATGTAGCAGCTCTGGGCCTAGCCGGTTTGACGCACATCCCTTGCCTGGCGCATGTGCTGAATTTGGTGGTGCAGAAATTCCTGAAAAACTACCCAGATATATCAGAGCTGCTGCAGAAAGTGCGGGCTGTCTGTGCGCGTTTTCAGCGTTCTTACCCTGCTGCTGCTCGGCCTTCCCGCTCACCGCCACAAATGCGATGTGCCCACAAGGTGGAACTCCACCTTGCACATGCTGGAGAGACTGTGCGAGCAGCAGCAGGCGATAGTGGAGTTTCACCAATGAGTGGGCCTCCATGCGAGACCTGTGTGCCATGTTGCGCTTTTTCGAGTACTCCACCAACATTGCCAGTGCCGATGACGCCGTTCTCAGCCTTACTATCCCGCTTCTATGTCTCCTTGAAAAAACACTTTGGTCGATGATGGAAGAGGATGTGGCACAGGAGGAAGAGGAGGAGAAAGAGTAATTTCCACGGTTTTCAGGCCAGTCATTCACAAGTGGCTTGGAGGGTGGGTTCCTGCACCAGCAAGCCAGATACACAATTGTCCAGCATCTCCACACTGTCCCATGGAAGCGTTCAGCTGTCCATCTCCCAAACACTGGAGAGAAAGAGGAAGTACCCCCTTACCCACCCATGATCCCTGGCCCTGAATGCCAGCATTTCAAAATTCCTGGCCTTTGAAATGCTGTCATTCCGTCTGGTGGAGACAGACAGTTTTAAAAACCTGATGGCGTTATTGGACTGCAAGAAATGCACTGCAAGCCGCAAATGTTTCTTTTTTTTATATGTCCCAATATTTTGGGGGCTAACCCAATTAAAAAAAACAAAAAGAAATAAAAAACAGTGTTGGCTACCTCCTCCACCTCCGCCACTGCTTCCACCTACACCGCCACGGTCACCGCCTCCTCAACCTAAGGGTCACTTAGTATAAACTATGTACACAATAGCAGAGGCTTGTGAAGGCCTTTTCTCCATGCATCAGGAGTTGAGCTCAGTTTGAACAATGAAAGAAAATACCCTGCACTCCAACCCTCTCTCAAATGGATAATTCTGGTGATCCTCCTGACAGTCATGCTTTAGATTTTGATTTATGTTCTTCCAAAGCTAAAATCAAAGATTCCATCTAGTGCTATTTTATGGCTCAGCTGTATTTTTTATTTTGATGTATTTTATGTTATTTTAAGAGATTTCCCTGTCCATATTTGTTTGCAGGGCAATTGTCCTACTCTTACCCCCATTTTACTTCCCTTGTCAGCCCTCTAGCCCTTTCCAGGACTTTTTTAGAGGCATTTTAGTGCCAAAAAGTTCGGGTCCCCATTGACTTCAATGGGGTTCGGGTTTGGGGTCAAGTTCGGGTCAAGTTCGGGTCAAGTTCGAGCCCGAACTCAAACTTTTTGCCGAAGTTCAGCCGAACTTGGCGAACCCGAACATCCAGGTGTCTGCTCAACTCTGCTTATTAACCCTCTATTGCCACCATACATATATGCCACAGTGCTTAGTGCTTGTGGCCTCTTTTTGGTTTAAAATGTCTTGCCCTAGTGGAGGATCAGTCAATTTCCAATGATGAGCTATAGTAATCTTCAAAACATAAAGAATGTGTAATTAAATATTAACTTTTTTTTTCCATTATTGGAAAATCTAAAATAAAAATAGTGAAGGTGTAAGAATTATAATCTCTTGAGTAAAGTCTAAAATCAGAGAAGATATACGCATCTTAATATCATTTAATATCTCACAGGTAAACCAAATATACAAGTACCATCTATACAAGATCTTTAAATGAGGTTCTAGCAAAGATATACAATTAATGTATTTTTTTTAATGAACAGTGAATGGTCGGCTCGGTGGTGGTCGTTCGTATGAACAAACGCGTGGCGACGGCCATCTTGGAAATGTGAACACCCAGCGGTGTTCGTCGACAAAACTATGGAACTAAAAACCGACACTAAGTTCAAACAAACACCGCTGAAGCCGCCGACCATCCTTTACCTTGTTCATCCGCTCATACGAACACCGTGCCGTTCGGTACATTACTATGCGAACAGAGCCACCCCAGATAGCTATCCCATAGAGCCCATTCGTATGACAAAAAGACTATGTGAAAGACTTTGGCTCCATGGCAATTGAACTGTGTGTATAGGATCTGAGCGCTGTTCATGATATTGTGCACTCAGATCTAAGCTATCTGGGGATATGTTGAATGTAGGGATTCTGTTCTGTAATTTTGGAATTATGTATTTTTATGCGTTTTTATAATCCTTGTAAAATGGAGGTTATGTTTTGTCCTCGGAGATATTTGAGTTACTTCTAGCACTTAACCCAATTATCTCCAGGACAGAGAGGAGGGTCCTCTACTGCTCAGGTGGGAGTGTTTATACTGTGATTGGTTACTGTAAGAATTTGTCACAGTTTTCCACCAGGTCCCTATGGGAGTGTCCACCTGGTGGGAAACCTGCATAAAAGCCGAGCATGTAGCCCACATTAAACAGATTCCTGCTTGACCCTCAATACAGAGCCTCGTCTCGTACTTGGGGGGATTATTTGTGTGTTTTCCTGTTCGGCAATTATGAGTGCTCGGTAGCTGACTTAATATTCGGGAAGGAAACATCTTTGGCTGAATTAACCCCTTCTATACCTGGGGAGCCGTTACAATCCCTTATACACATGTGTGTGTGTCAGTGTGTGTATCTGTCTGTATGTATCTGTTAATGTGCGTATCTGTATGTCTGTGTATCTGAGTGTTTGTCAGTGTGCGTATCTGTATGTCAGTGTGTCTATGTGTCAGTCTGTATCTGTATGTCTGTATACATTTGTGTGTCAGTGTCTGCATCTGTATTTCTGTGTGTCAGTGTGCAAATCTGTATGTTTGTGTATCTGTGTGTTTATCAGTGTGCATATTTGTATTTGTGCATCTGTGTGTGTGTGTCTGTATGTCAGTAACTGTGTGTGAGTGTATGCCTGTGTATCTGTGTGTGTTTCAGTATGTGTGTATCTGTAATGGCCGGCCCATCCATAGGTCCCAGTGGAGCCATGGCTCCAGGCGGCACTTTGACAGGGGCAGCATTTTGCCTGGAAAGCCCAGTCTTCCCTGATCAGCTAGTCCGCCGGAGAGGGCAGGGAGGCCGCTAAAAATGAAAAGAAAATTTTAGGAGTCTGGAGAGGGAGGCTGATCTGGGGCTGGCTGGGTCCTCAGGGTTACGAAGTGTTTCCCACTGAAGTTACGGCACTCTTAGATTACTAGCTGTGCGTGCCGGAACTTCACTGGGAACTTTACTTACATTATTTGCTGCAGGGCTGTTGCTGTGGGCTGGCCCCCGGGAGTGTCAGAATTTCCCTTTGTGTCTGGCTACGTGTGCTGTAATGGCCACATAGCTAGCACAGGCATCAGGACATGCAGAAGTTGGACTTAGCCAGCAACGGTGTAGACAAGTGGAGCGGAACCGCAAGGAGTCAATTCAGACTCCACTTCCGCTAGGATCCACCACACCGCGGATACTGAAAGGGTAAGTAATTATTAAAGGGACACCGTAGGCACTTTATCTTCTTCATCTCATTAAACTGGTTATAGTGTCTGGAGTCCCCTGGTACCATGATTTCTTTCAGCATTAAACAGTTTTTTTTTTTTTTTAAATTTGACAATTTTTATTGGCATTTTTGTCGTAAACACCGACATATGCTGGGGCAGTGGGGGGGATACAGAAGAGAGCGGAAGGGGGGGGGGGGCAGCAGCAGAGTTTTGTATTTGTCACATAGCATATTCATACAGTACAGAACAAATAGCAATTACAGATTAGATATGGATATACAATATGCGTTTGTCCACTCTAAGGTCCGAGGTCGGCTCGACCCATATTTTAATCTCAAGCTCTACAGTTTCCTTCCATCGGGATTAACCCAGGTGACCCGATCTCCATGCGTCCCAAATCTCCCACGCCTTTGCGGAGGTATGGGATGGGGGCCACAATTTGGTTTATGCTCCTTCATATGCTCTTTGTTCTATCAGAGCGGCCAGTAATCTGGAGAAGGGCGGACATACTTTAGATTTCCATGTTCTTGCAATCTCCCTGTGTGCTGAGAGGAGAACATGATACATAAGTTTCCTCTCGGCTCTAGGGGTTCCGCTTGGGAGAAGTAGTGTTATATATACTTGGGGCGTAAATTGTATAGAGATGCCAGTCAAGCCTTGCAGGAATGAATGGACTTCCGTCCAGAATGATTTAAGGGCTGTGCAATGCCACCAAATATGGAGGACATCTCCTCTTAATATTCCACATCTCCAGCAGTTGGGGGAGCTATTTGGGTAAAAGTTATGAATACGAGTAGGTACCATGTTCCATCTATAAACACTCTTACGTTGTTGCTCCACTAGAGAAATGGATGTGAGTAGCTGATTAATGTCTTGGAATAAGGTATTCCATTGTGTAGGGGAGATAAGCTCTCCCAGATCTATATTCCATTGTTGATCTATATTGGTAGCAGGGAATGGCATACAGTTGGCGATGAGTCGGTAACACTTGGAGGTCGGTTTACATGCGAGTGGCAATGACCCATTTATACATACTTGTTCCCACATCGTGGGTTGTCCCTTATTGGGCTGCAATTCCCTGTCAGCACTAGCTGACCTGTGGAGGAATGATCTCAGTTGTATGTATGAGAATTGTGAGGTTAGAGGGAGTTTATGTGTGTCTCTCAGTGTGGAGAATTCCTTTAATGCCCCATGTTGGAAAATATAATAGAGGTGTGTTAGTTTGTTATCTAGCCAAGGGTTGGCATGGAAGGTAGGTATACAATACGGGGGCGTCGCCACCGGTGTAGCTGGTGAAAGTTTAGTTTGGGAGCAAAGCGTTGATCTATGTTTATCCCATATTTGTAGCTTGAGGGCGAGGAGGTCGGATGGGTGTGGCAAGGTCGGGCGGTATACCTTCGGTATCCACATAATGTTAGGTAGTGTGAAGGGCCTCAGCAGGTTTCTCTCTATCTCCGCCCACTGAGGAGGTATCTTATCTATATGATGGAGAAGTAATGAGGCCAGTATGGATGCGTGATAGTAGGCCTTCACATCTGGTAGTCCCAGTCCACCTATCTTTTTAGGAGCTTGTAAAAGGTTCCTGGCTACTCTTGGTCTAGACCCAGCCCAAATAAAGTTGTCTGCATCTTTTTGTACCAGTTTGAAGAAGGAGTGTGGGACGGGTATCGGGAGCGTTCTAAAAATATATTGCAATTTGGGAAGGATAGACATCTTCACTGCCACTATTCTTTCAGCCCACGTTAGATAAAGAGGTGACCATCTTTTAAGTTGTAGGGCGGCCAGTTGTGGAGGCCTGTTGGTACACTCTCAATAGGTGGGGTGCCAGTGTGCAAATTTCTTATAGTATATGTTAGTGAAACCATCAGCTCCAGGGGATTTAGCCAGAGGCAGAGATTTGATGGCTGCACTAACTTCGGCCAAGGTTATGGGTTGTTGGAGTTCTGTAGCTTGTTCGAGTGTGATTTGCGGTATCTGATTGAGGTATTTGGAGATGCTATCTTCCATTGGGTTATATATACCTGTCGTGAGCTGCAGGTTGTAAAGTTTGGCATAGAATCTTGCAAAAGTTTGTGATATGTCATTGGGATTTAGTATTTTCTGACCCCTATCATTCATAAGGTGTGCTATCTTTTGTGCATTGCATTTGTTGCGTAATCTCGCTGCTAACAATTTAGTGGCTTTACCGCTTTGATGGTAGGCGGTAGCTTTTAGTTTATGGAGTAGCCTCCTAGTTTTGTCTGCTGTCAAGTCTCTTAGCTTGTCATATTGCAGGGTGAGTTGCATCCCTGTTTCTTCTGTGGGCTGGGTCTTATTTAAAGCAGAAAGTTGCGCTATCTTTGTGTGGCATTCCAACATTGCCGAGTCTTGGATTCTTTTAATGTGTGAAGCTTGTTTAATAAATAGGCCCCTAAGCACCGCCTTATGTGCGGACCAGACCGTGGATGCCGTGGTCTCTTGGACAGTGTTTAATTTAAAGTAGGTTATGAGCTCATCTTTTATGGTAGCGGTGAATTTCTCATCATTCAATAGGGAGTCATTCAACCTCTAAGTGCCTTTCCCTGTGAACTGGAATTCGTCTTTCAGTACCAGGGTGACCGGGCTGTGGTCTGACCACGTAATCTCCCCGATCCTACAATCAGCGACAAGGGGCAAGGTAACTCTATCAACAAAAAATCCATCTATCCAAGAATACGAGTTGTGTACCCTCGAGTAAAAAGTATAATCTCTTGTTTCAGGGCTAAGGGTTCTCCATACATCATAGAGGTCATGCAGTGAAAGTGTTTTGTTGATGTTTTTGTGGGTCTTGTCATGCGACAATCTAGTATTATTGCCCCTCTGAGTTGATCTATCCAGGGGTGATTGGGTGAAGTTAAAGTCGCCACATAGCAATAAATTGCCTAGGCGATATTGGTCGATTTTCGTTAGTAGGGACTTTAGGTATTGATTGGAATTCTCATTTGGGAAGTATGCCGTGACCAGTGTGTATTGGTCTGCGTTAATGAGGCACTGCAGGATTATGAATCTACCCTGGGGGTCTATAAAATGCCTCTGGCTAGTGAATGCGATGCCTTTGTGTATTAGGATAGATACACCCTTAGTTTTGGTTACCGAGAGTGCATGGTATTGTGTTGGGAAGTGTTTATTAAAGATCTTAGGTGTATAGCCTTTCTTAAAGTGGGTCTCTTGAATACATGCGATGTCTATTTTAGATTTTATCAATTCCTTGTACAATAAACACCTTTTCCCAAGGGTATTAAACCCCTTCACATTATACGTTACTACTCTTATGATAGTTGGGGACCAGTTTCGCTATGACGTCTGGTACGTGAAGGTGAACCGATGTTAGAGTAAAAAACAGTATTATTGTCTATGTTGTAGCTATATCCAGCTAGCAAGTATATCCCGGCCCTATCGATACGGTCGCTAAGGTAAACCTGGATAGATACGGGAAAGAGGGAACTAAGGAGGGAATAAACTGGGGGGGGTATGGGGTAAAAACCCAGATTAAGCTCTACACGAGAGAGCTGGAGCGCGCCAAGCTGATCTTGGCTGCAATTTAGGGGGTACATTAAATGAGCCTGGTGGTTGGAGTGGCTCACGTGTGGCCTTTAGGGTTATGAGTGGCTTATGTGGAGTTTATAGCTGTAACTACAATGTTTACAGTCAGGGGTGTCAGGTACCCTTCCTTCCTTTTGGCACAGTTGCTATTTACATTCTATTGATTGAGATAGGGTGCTGAGGCTTTCCAGGGCCGCAGACATCTCTATCCAGCTTGTAACACAAAACATAAAAAACATAACCTATTATAACATTTCGTAACCAACAGTACATAGATACTAATGACTGCTCTGTGGGCAGCAGTAGGAGTTAGGTATACTTAACACTCTCCCATTGGGAGAAGAGGCAGGCCTCGCGGACTGTCCGTGTTCAGGCAGGGGACATCCGAGGTATCTTTGCCTGGTTGTGGTCGCTTACTATAGCAACCGGGAGTCCCCACAGCTTAAATTTTTCTTTGCCAGCCGGCAGCGAGTTTACGGCGTGCAGCGAGTCTTGATACTGGATGAGCAATTTTGCGGGGTATCCCCAGCGGTATATAATTCCTTTTGCTTGTAGTGTTGTCGTGAGGGGGGTCAGGCTTTTGCGGAATTGTAGGGTTGCAGCCGACAGGCCCGTGAAGTCCTGGTAAGGATCTGGCATGCCTGGTGTGCGGGATGCTCGAACCAACCTCTCCTTAGCATGGTAGAAGTGGACACGGACTATCACGTCCCTCGCGGTGGAATTAGGGAGGTGTTTCGGTCTTCTCAGCCTATGTGCTCGGTCGATGATGAGTTGGTCTGGATGAATCTCCGGTTGGAAGAAGTCTAACAGGTAGGTGTTAAGTGCTGGGTTAAGCACCGATTCCGGGATGCCGCGTATTCGCAAATTATTGCGTCTCGACCTGTCCTCCATATCGGCCATTTTGACCGCATGGTCGTGTAGGACGGTGTCTAATTCTTGCAGCTTGTCCGCGAGACCGTTGGGTGCTTCAGCGAAATCATCCATCCTCTTCTCTATCTGGGCAGTACGCTGGCCCACCTCTATTATCTCCTTCCTGAGATCTGCGGTGAGGGTTTGTATCTGCGTCGCCATGTTCCTCTGAATGGTGTCAGTGAGTTCCGACAGCATTAGTTTCAGTTGCTGGGTTGTAAGCGGGCTGTCCTCCGGTCCTGTATCTGAGGACATTGGGGATAGAGGTGGATCCTCCTCGGAGCGAGCGGCACCGCCATCTTCAATCGGGCTGCGGCCTTCTCGTGAGTGCGGTGTCGCCGACTTGGCCAGGAAGAAAGAGGCTCGATCTGCCTTTGCAGCTTTAGTTTTTTGCCTTTGCGACATCCCTGAAGGATCGAGAGTGGTAGTTTCGTATTTAGTTATTGTTTGTTTTTTTTCAGTCCGTTTATTTTTAGCCCTGGATCACCCGGTTAGCAGGAGCCTCGTTAGGATGCGTCCATGCAGCTAGGTGTCAGGCCAATGCTAAACAAGAGTCCACGGCAGTCTATCCACTCTGTGCTGCTTTGGCTAACAAGGAAGTATTACCCTGGGAGGCAATGGGCAGCTGTGATTGGCTGAGAGTGTCAGCTGACTGCTTTTAACCTGTCAGAGCTCCAACTGACGGTATGGATGGGTATGACAACAAGGAAGTGTGTAATCTCTGCCTTAGCTACACATACAGAAGGGGCCGGACTGTGGGTGGCCAGGGACTCTTATTTTGTGGCATACTGCACAAACATTGTGCAACACGGAATGGAGGGACAGTGCCAGGCCACTCCAGGCACTATAACCAATTCAAAGAGACAAAGTGGTTATAGTGACTACAATGTCCCTTTAACTTCAATGCACACCAGTGTTAATTTTGGCTGTAAATTTCAATTCAGTTTTAGTCATAGTCTTTTGACCTAAAAACCATTTTAGTTTGTCATATTTTAGTCATCTAAATTGTTTTAGTTTTAGTCAACTAAATCTCCAGTAGATTTTAGTCGACATGACTAAAATCTAGTGGGTTTAAATAAAACCTCTTTTGCCACCCCCACCCCCTCCCTCAAACCTCCATGTGTCTCATGGCCTCAGTCCCCAGGTGCCTTACTCACTCGTGTTAATTTTTGCGGCAAATTTAAATTAAGTTTTTTTTAACTGTCTTTTTTTTTTACTTAAAAGACATTTTTGTTTTAGTTATATTTTAGTTATCTGAGTTGTTTTAGCTGACTGAATCTCAAAAATTGTAGTCGACTAAAATCTGACTAAAATGGTTAGTCAACAAAATTAACACTGATGCACACGGTGTGCTGGACATAGGAATTCCAATCCCAACACACACACAAACACACTACGTCCCAAGCGCATACACACACACGCTACATCCGCAGCACACACAGGCACACTATGTCCCCAGCACATACACACACACACTACATCCGCAGCACACACAGACACACTACATTCCGAGCAAACAGACACACTGCATCCCTAGCACACACATACTCACTAAATGCCCAGCACACAGACACACTACATCCCTAGCACCCACACACACACCACATCCCCAGCACACACCACATCCCCAGCATACACAGACACACTACATCCCCAGCATACACAGACACACTACATCCCCAGTGCACACACACAGACACACTGCCTCCCCAGTGCACACACAGACATACTGCATCCCCAGTCAGTGGCGTCTCTAGGATTCATTTTTAAGGGGGGCACATGGTGGGCCAACAACAAAAGTAGGGGGGCACATTTAACTCCACCCTCGCCGCAGTTTGACCACGCCCCTTCCGCGTGTTAAGCCCCTCCCCGACACAATGCGTTTTTTTTTAATTTTTTCATAATTCATTATTTTTCACCAAGGATTATTTAGAAACAGACACATTTCCCTTGATACAGAGCCATAGTTGCCAACATTTGAAAAAAAATTCCAAGGCAATTTTGCAGCACAGCTATCAATTACTACCTTGAAAGTTTACCACACCCACTGCCGCAAAACTCGTCCCACTATGTCCAACCCACATAATTAATCTCTGCCTACTTATCACAGTACAGATAACAGTCTACTCAATAAAGAGAGATTTACAAGGGCTGTGTGTATAATAAATTGGGATAGTTAGTGTTCCCTGTATAGTGCTGCACTCTGTATAATACAGGTCTGTCTGTGTATAATATCCCGAGACAGTCAGTGCTCCCTGTATAGTGCTGCTCTCAGTATAATACAGGTCTGTTAGTGTATAATATCCCAAGACAGAGAGCAGCACTATACAGGGAACACTGACTATCTCAGGATATTATACACACAGACTTGTATTTACAGAAAGCAGTACTATACAGGGAGCACTGACTGTCACAGGATATTATTCAGACACAGGCCTGTATTATACAGAGAGCAGCTCTATACATGAAGCACTGACTATCCCGGGATATTATACACACCCAGACCTGTATTATACAGAGAACAGCACTATAGTATTATACAGATAGCTGAGCATATACCCCATTTCCCAATCTCTAGACTACTAGTACCTGTCAACAGCAGCTCCGAGATGCATGTAACAGGGCTAAAGTGTGCAGCAGCTCACACAGATAATTCAGCGGTAAAGCACACTCACTGGCAAAGCCAAACTGGGAATCCAAAGCAGCCCTGGAAAAAAAATGTATGCCATTCTTACAAGTCATTTTATATATATATATATATATATATATATATATATACATACAATTTCCCCCGCACTCACGCTTAGTAGTATCCAGTAATGCCGGGTGCCATAGCCTGGACTCCAAAAGTACAGTGTGTCAAAAGATAGCTGCTCACCACTCTTTAAAATTCCAATACTTTAATTAGTTCAAGTTAAAATCAGAGACCAATGTTTCAGTCCCTATTCGGGACTTTCCTCAGGGTAACAAGACAACATGTTGTCTTCAGTGGCGTCGCTAGGGGGGGGCCAGAGGGGGCCATGGCCCCCCCTACATCATGCTGTGCCCCCCTTGGGCCCCCCCAAATGCCAGCAACTTGCTGGCCATGGGCTTCCCTCGGACTGTAACAGCCTGTCACAGCCCGAGGGAATGCAGTGCTGAGGTGCTGGGGGCAGTCTGTGGCTGGAGGGAGCACTGATTGGCTCCCTGGCACAGGCTCCGCCCCCAAATGAAGCCCCGCCTCCCACCGATAAGCCCCGCCCCCGCCGTAATGCAGCAGCCCATGCTGCTGCAGAAGATGGCTGCCTGAGCCCCAGCAACATCCTCCAGTGACAGGTAGGCTGGGGGGGGGTGTTCACACACACACTGCCCCCCATACTGCCCCATACACACACTGCCCCATAAACACACACTGCCCCCCATACACACACACTGCCCCCATACACACACACTGCCCCCCCATACACACTGCCCCCCCATGCCACATCTCAAGCCTCCTATACACACACACACACACTGCCCCCCATACAGTCCCCCCATACACACACATTGCCCCCCATACTGCTCCCCATAGACACACATTGCCCCCCATACTGCTCTCTGTACACACACACTGCCTCCATACACACACATTGCCCCCATACTGCCCCCATACACACACACTGCCCCCATAC